ACCCCTTTTCGTCCTCCCCAGCCCTCCCTTCACGCACACACGTTGTTCTGCTGTAGAACGCTGTTCCCAGTCAAAAACGCCGGTTTTCCGCTGGGCTGAGGTGGGAGCGATGCTCAGGAGGCTTTGCTGCCTGGTGAAACGGGACAAACCCACACGACCCCTCTGCATTCACGGGTGCACGAACACGGAGAGCAATACCTGCTAGAGATGTGTGCTCCGTGCCCATCCATCACTGCTCAAATCACAGCCTCTCACTCACCCCCAAACTTACTTACAAACAAAACACCTAGAATTTGGAAACATTCATACCTCTCAAATGCAGCTAAGTGCAATATATGTGTCTGCATACGCCTGGTTGTAGTCACCCCACAGCCGGAGCGTGGTTACTCCACAAACTCACTCCAGTGGTGGTGTGTGGGTAAGAAGTTGCAATGGGTGCTATGAATGAGACACGAGGTGTTCACAGGAAGCTGCATGTGTGACCGCACTACAAGAACATTTTAAAATACCTGGTTTATGCTTTCAATCAGTATGTTAAAATGCTTTTGAATCAAAGATAACCTCTTATTTTTATCGCTTACAGATTTTCATGTTCAAAAAGTTATTTAGATTCCTCTTGATCGCCATTAGGTGCTTAAAACCAGACTTTAGCAAACAGAAAACTGTATTTAAAGTCATTTGAAAATAGCTTTAAATCAATTCTAAAACTAAAGTGAAACTAAAGCTGGAGTAATCTGTACATAAAGTTTAATAGGCTCCTGGAATTATTTTATAGCAACAGCAATGACATTTATGTATAAATGCTGCAAAATGAGCTTTTTCCTCTGTGCTGTATTTTTCTTTCTTAAACGGTCAATAACTGATTTCCCATTTGCTGCTTTGCTTCTGCCTCCGAGGAGTGACCCAGCACCTCAAAACGTGCACAGCCTGAATCAGCACCGAGAAAGCAGTGGGTGGGAACCGCTCAGCTCTCTGCAGAGCTTTCAGCGTATCTATTTTACTACCTGCTCAGTCAGAAAACACTTGAAAACACCAAGAGACAGATGAAGAAAAGTCAGTTTAAAGCTTGAATGAATCCAGTAGCAGTTTGTGCTGCCAATCCAGGAAGAAATACCTGCCAGAGCTTTAGATATATTATACCTACGTGCATTAAAGGAAGCAATACTATAAAGAAAGCATCTATTTCTTCTCTCATTCGGTGCCACCCTTATAAAAGGGGAGCTGCACAAGCAATTCCCTTTTTTGTTGCAAGGCCTTCAGAACGGTTGTGAACTGGTAAATTACGCTTGTTGGTGCTGTATATATTCCATTTACTAAGATTCAAGAAACAGCATTAGAACAAAAAAATATATGGTTATATTGCTAACCAATATATTTCATTTAATAACTTCTGTTCAAAAAACATCTAAATACATTTTAGACATGAATTTAAAGGATTTTTTTTTAGAACTCTATCATAATCCTGTATTTCTTCAGTGAATTTCCCTTTGAACTCTACAATCCCATCTGAATGAATTGTTTTCTGTGCATGCCAAAGACATGAGATGATGAGATCCCTTAAGCCATCTACACCAGATGACTCACTGCTCTCCGAGTCTGCCTGGTGGTGTTTGTGTTTTAGATCATGTAGCACTCGTGAGTGGGACGCACACTGAAAGCAGCTCTGCTCTCACAGGCAGGCATCACTCCCAGCACTCCTGGATCAATGTTTCACACCATTTCCACACAGCTTGAAAAGGAAAACACAGAGCCAGCACCACGCACCCCAGACCCCCGCACACCCACATTTCTGGCGGCTGGTCATGGGCTCTCCTGCAGAGAGAGCACAGTTTCTAAAGGGAAGCTCTTAAAAACCCAAATCCAGTGAATGTTTCTGGACATCTACAGCTAAAACCCAAACCTGTTCACTCCTCCGTCCCTGCCCAGCTAGTTGCCATATACACATTGCATACATGTATGCACAAAACAGGGTAAAGAACACCCCTGTCTCGGCTGTCCCATTAAAAACAAGCAGTGCCACACTTCAAACAGTCATGGCTTCACAGCTACAGCATGATGATAACCTGTATGGAAAAGACCTAAACTCATAAATAAGTTTCAAAGAATTTATTTTCTCAAGACAATGTGTTGGGATTAAAATATGTTGTTTACTGCTCATTGCAAAATCAGGACCAAACTATTCAGTGTACAGCTGGATGAGAGCTAAGATGAGCCCCAGTCTTCTATGCTGGAGCACAGGAGGTTCAAGCTGAAGATGAGGCCAAACTTTGTGAGTGTGGGGGTACCGCAGCATGGCCCAGGCTGCCCAGAGAGGTTGTGGAGTCTCCTTGTGTGGAGACACCCAAAGCCCTGGCCGTGTTCCTGTGTGACTGCTCTGGTGATCCTGCTCTGGCAGGGGTTGCACTGGGGGAGCTTTCCAGGGCCCTTCCAACTCCTCACATTCTGGGATTCTGTGATTCTCATACATTCAGGTTTGCTGTTGAAGGAGCTTGTTCCCAAAGTACTCCATATTGTCCCTGTTGGTGCTATTCCCAGAGGACACACTGGAAGCAAGACCCAAAGACTCTCAAGCACAGCACCTTTAACAGCCACCTCAGCTTAACCAGACCAGTTCTGCCACCAAACCCCTGCTGTCCCCCGTGCTGCAGGTCCCAGCTCACGGTGCTCCCCTAGCTGCACAGCGTCCCCCAGCCGCTGCCCAGTCCCACTGAAACCAGCGACACCAGGGCCAGCCCAGGCACACGAGTGCTGCCATCGCCCAGCTCCACAGCACCACCACAGCCCCTTGGGGCTCCACGCGAGCTCCAGCACAACCCACACGTTCAGTCGTCACAACATGTGAAACATGGACTCCTCCTCCAAAGAGAGACCTCCCGGGGAGAGGAGCTTTGTGTGCAGCACCAAACCTAAGCTGAAGAACTGGGCTCGATCCAAATCTGCTGCCTACATCAGCGGCGAGGGCAAACTGCCTTGATAAACAAGGCACTGAAAGCTGACGTGACAGAGCAGGTCCCATACAACACATCTCTAGAACGTGACCCAGAGAAGAGACACCTGATCAGCAGGAGAGCATCCTGTGTGTTCAAAGAAAAATCCTCCTTGATACTGTGGAAAAAGTACATTTTCATCCCTGCAAGTGCAAAACCAATAAAGCTGTGCAAGAATAGAACAAAACTTTTACAAAGTCTCTTTTCAAAGCGGTGATATAATACATTATTGATGTTGGCATTATGTTAAAATGAAGATGGGGACATTTTTGAAGGACAGGAATAAGAAAGAGAAAATGATGATGCTCCAAAGCCCTGCTTCGATTTTCAGCAGAGGAAAAGAACCAAAGCCAATCTGCATCCTAGCATTTGCTTGCCTAAAGCTAAGCAAATTGGTACAGATTTATGCAAGCACCTTATCTGCAGTTAGTTCCAGAATCGAGTTGTCAAATTTCACCTACCTGTTACATAGGCTTGCATTAACGTCAGTAAGTGTAAGTATAACCAATACCATCGCCCAAAACACTTGAAAAATTTTAACTCCTTCAGGTTTTCCCATGAGGTTTTTTCCTTTCTTATTCAGGGGTAGGGGATGCACTGCAGTGGTGAAGTCTTCTACGTAGTTTTCTATAGTTAGCCATGTCTGAGCTATGCCTTAACCTTTCCAGGTCCTTCTACAAAGGTAAAGCTCTGTCGTGACGTTTGGGCTGTGCCTGATGGGAAGGATGGGATGAGGCTGTTGGAGAGCGACCAGAGTCCTCCCCATATTTACAGACATCCCCACCGTCCATTCTCATCCTTGGGTTTGCAGATTCTTCACCTCGTCATTAACTTGCACATCATGGAAGACTTTGGGTGTATCATTGCCAAAAATGCTTCCAAAATTGTATGTCCTTTCCTAATATACTGGATTGCTTTGCTATTTTCAACCCATACGGTACCACCCACTGTTGCATGGATTTATTAAGTGTCTCCAAGACCAAATTTACAGAAAACATGAGTATGTGAACTTGCATTAGTGGATGGAGAAAATCTGGTACTTCCTTCTTTCCAGTTTGACAGCCCTGATGTTTGCTGCTGTTCCAGTTCTGCTTCTGACCCTGCCTTGTCCTCACGTTATAAATCATCATTCTTAATAAAAGCAGAGGTCAAGTTTAACAAAAACTTGTATTAAATAGACTACCTTCTTGTCTACCATTTGGTCCATATTGCAGCTCTTTACACCTTCCTAACTGCCTTAGCTTTGCATTTACATTTTATGGCTATAAAACCTTCTAATTTTATTTTCAAGATCTACCTCAGCTTGACTTTTGGAAATCCTCACTTCATCTCTTTTTGTTTTGCTTTGGTTTCTTTCTTTGTGGATCCTCCTCCTCTTCCCATTTATTCCTGGAAGTTGTTCATTACCCCCACTATTTTGAGTACTTTGTGTAATGAGCCTGCATTAATTTCCCCAAAGCACTCAAATACAAACTTTTCCTGCCTTTTAGGGAAGCAGAATCCTCATGTATTTTGCAGCTCCAGTTCCACACTTTGACTTCAACACGTCCAAATCACAGTAACGCCACAATAACTGTGATAGACTCCCATTGCTTGCCCCCTTTTGCTGAACACTGTTAAAATTCATTAACCCAATTCATTCTCAGATTCCCTGAGTGAAAAGAGATATGATCACTGAATATATCAAATGTGATCATCGAATTTTAAAGTCATTCATGTTACAAATAATAAAGACCATACCTTTAACTGAATTTTCGCAGATGCCGCTTTTTCTGCCACAGCAAGTTCATGTAGATGTTTGTAGTCAACAGGTTTATACCTCTGGCTGCAAGGACCATTTCTCAGAGGAACAACCAGGCCTCCTAGTTATCAGATAAAACACACACAGTCATTTCAAATTCTGGACAAATATCTTAAGCATGAGGCGTAAAATGAAAGCGTTATAGGTGGAAATTAGAAACAGTCTATTTCAAACGTTCAAAGTTTCCATAACAGAGATTGTCAGTTGGTGAATAAGAATTGGTAACAAACATAAGTTCATAGAAATTATACAAGAAACGTCGACCATTTGTACGATTGCAAGGAGTTCATTTTAAAAGGTGGGGTTTTTTAATACGTGAACTTGAAGAGTAATTCACCTTGAACTGGGTTTACTGGAATTTTAATAAGTTCTAATCCAGAAATATGTAAGTTTCAATACATGCATTCTTATTTCACAGATTGGGAAACTACCTCAATATTTGTTGTAATCTATGGATTGAGCAATAGGAGTACTTTTTTCCAAAAGGTATGTAAACTACTGATTAAATGTGAACAGAATGAGCTGCAGTTAATTTCCCATTGAATCTCCAGCCGTAAGAGCAGCCTGATTTCTCTATTAAATTCTGCAGGCCCCTGGAAAACAATGCACTTCCTCCAGAAAGAGAAAGGCACTGAAGTGCAAGGCAAACCTGACACTTGGTTTCTGCTGGGTGCAGTATGGTTTGCAACACCCACCTTCTGCAGTCCTGTCATCAGTGTTTGAAAGACCGTGACAGCATCGAAAGACTGTGATGTGACTACGATGATTTTGTGATTCTGTGGCTGCCCAAAAGCCCAGAAGAAGAAGTTTTGTTGCAAAAGCACGTGAGTTAATGAAGATGTAACCACGCTGGCCTTTCACCACACAGTGAAGATGACTGACAGTGGGTCCTTGAAGCAGTTTCACTGAGGCACTGACGTGTTCCCAAATAACAGCTACCTCACCTTTACCATGGTAGGACTTATGTTCACATTCCTAAAATCCAGTGCCTTTATTTCTCTTCCTCCTCACCAGCTTCCCGAGAATGGTAACTTCCCCCATCTCATGGTCACTTTAATCCATATTATGTATAGAGTTAAAACGGGGTGAGGTAAGGACGGAGAAGAGCGGCAGCCACATCAGAATGAGCACTGAAAACCAAGGCTGCCGATCCTGTCTGAGCAGGCTGTGTCACCAGAGCAGCTCACTGGAGGTAGCCGCAGACGCCGCTGCCCGGCGTGAACCAACAGCTTTTCCTGGCTCCAGACGCCCATCGGAGCAGACCCGCATCCCTCTCGCCCTGTCATCATCACCCGCGGTCTCCGCAGGCAGGGCGGTCCCGCTGCAGGCTCTGACTGGAGGGGCTCCCACCCACGCAGGGGAGGACGTATTCCTCCTCTGCCGCCTGTCAGCCCTGCTCTCCTCCTCACTGATCTTCTCAGCATGCAAACTATCCCACCAAATCACTGTTATGCTAAGCAGGATATAGCTTTGATCTTACATTACGACTACTTTTTACTTCTCTACATACCTTACACAAAAAACGTTCAGTAGTTTGATCCACTAATTCCTCCCATGTTATCCCTCCTGTGCACTTAGTACGAGTAATCTCCTTTCTCCTCGATTTCAGGCCTTTAAGTAGCTTTGTTCCTCTATGGGCTTTTTATCATCAATCCAAATTTAAAGTTCTCATCCCTAACTTAGCAAGATTTTATGAGAAGGATTTTTTCCTTCTTTCTGAGCCTGCTTGCAGCACTGCCCAGCAGAGGCTGTGGAACATCATCCATGTTCAAAGCAGCAAACATCCAGTGGCCAAGCCCTCTGCAAAGCCACTTATGCATCTCTTCCCCCATAGGCTATCAGCCCTCACAGCTACTCCTGCAGGTTCTCCTGGTCTGCTGTGAGTCCTTGGACAGCAGCACCAGTGTCCACACAGCAGCAGCCTCGGAGCAATCCCAGCACATCTCTAACCAGGCTCCCTGCAGACAAATGCCTGGGAGATGTTAGCAGATGCATCTGCCGTATTCGTTAGGAAGGAAGCAGGCACTGCTGCTAGTGCTACTAAACCACATTAACCACTGCTAGAGATCATTAACTACAACTCCTTGGTACGGGGTTGTGAATTGCTTTGAAAGCAGGACAGCATGATGTTCCAGCACCAGAGACCCTGTTAACTCCAGGACAGCACACTACCGTGCAGGTATGTGCCAGAGCAAAGGTGGGACACTGACACCTTCCTGGGGAGGTAGAGGTCACCCCACACCTCTTCCTGCAGCACCTCCTGCAGAGATCGCTGTCAGTGCCTGGTGTCAATGGCTCTGGAAATGCTCTGTGTGCATCCTACATGCGTGTCAGTGCCCGCACTGGCCAAGTCACAGAATCACAGAGCATGAGGAGTTGGAAGGGACCTGGAAAGCTCCCCCAGTGCAACCCCTGCCAGAGCAGGAGCACCAGAGCAGTCACACAGGAACACGGCCAGGGCTTTGGGTGTCTCCACACAAGGAGACTCCACAACCTCTCTGGGCAGCCTGGGCCATGCTCCAGAACCCTCACACTGACAAAGTTTGTCCTCATCTTCAGCTTGAACCTCCTGTGCTCCAGCTTGGGACCATTGCCCCTTGTCCTGCCATTGGCCATCCCAGAGCAGAGCCTGGCTCCTTCCTCCTGACCCTGCCCCTTTCCCAATGGATCCCCAGGAATGAGGGCACCCCTCAGTCTCCTCTGCTCCAAGCTCAAGAGCCCCAGCTCCCTCAGCCGCTCCTCAGCAGGAGATGCTCCACTCCCTCCAGCATCTTTGTCCTCACGCTATGGTCAGCTTCAGCCTCGCCCCTCCTTCAGATGAGGAACCTGGAGTTGTTCCTGAACCACTTCACTCACACAGGTCTCACACCACTTGTTCTGAACTGAGGTGTGGATACCCACAGGCAGGGACCCTACCTGAGTAAGGCAGTCAAGACTGCAGTATCCTGACCAGCTTTCTTTGGTCTATGCCGACATTGTCATCTCCTCAAAGTGCTCAATGGAGTTACATTTTGCTGTCGCGGTTTGACAGCTCTCACTCACCACTGCCTTTGAAGATCTCCTTTCTCTGTGCCAGCTTTATTCCTCAGTACAGGGCAGTAAGAGTAAGAGACGTGACCAGAAAACAAACCCATGCAGTCTTTGTTGGACCCTTTCTCACAACATAAAATGAGAGATGAGAGTGGACAACAAAAAGCATGGAAAAAACAGGAATAAAAATGTCAAAGTGTATACTGGTGTACAGGAAGAAACGACGAATACAGTGCAGAAAACAACCAGGAAGGGAGAATGAGCCACCCCACTGAATGGATAGATGGGGAGAACAAGGCATGCTGTAATACAGCAGGGAGAAACACCGTCTTTCTTCGGCTGGGTTGTCTTAATCTGCTCTAACCACAGAAACACGCACCAGAGAACAGTGAAAAAGCAGAGAGAATCCATTCACACACAAAGGTTAAACTTGGTGGTACCTAGATTAAAAGATGTTGTTACTCTGTTGGGTTTCTAAACAAAAAAAAGCTTGTGGGAACGTTTAGAAGCCTTTGAGTTTAATTTACCAACATAGCCTGATATTTTCTGCACTCTTAAAAAGTTTAATATTAAACATATAAATAGACATAGCTACATACAGTACTGATGTAAGACAAAGTAGGTACTGAGGTACTTCCTCAGCTAAATCTTCATCAACTTAGCAACGTACCTCACATCAAATAAAAGAATGAGAAGGGAAAAACAGGTTCAATTTCCAAGCCTCTAACCCCAAATAATTTAATTTTATCTTGGCTTTTGATATGCTTTTTCCTTCATCCTGTATATCTGAACCTTATGTATCTCTGCTACTAATCTTTATCTGCTTCTGCTCCTACTGAGGACTTCACTCTGGGGAGTGTTCTGAAGTCAATGGGGTCTGTCTGTGTGAGGTTAACTCCAAAATCAGGGGTTTGGCACATCGGATGCAAACTTTGTATTTAATAGGTAAGGTATTGGATGTGTCTTACACCTTACAAAGAAAATAAATTGCGTCTATTTTATAGGTACGTGTACATCCACAAATACATGCACAGATGAACAAAGTATTAAACTTCTAGATTTAAAAATGGGTTTTTTCAAATATTTGCTGGAGCCTAAGATACAATTACAATGGCAAATGAAAATACTTGAACTTTTGCCCCAGTATTGTAAAGCTTTAGCGCACAGATCCTCAGTAACTTTACATAAGCCAGGAAGCTTACAGGGATAAGAAATGGGCCTTTTCTCCCCAACCTCTTCTGCAGCAGTGAACCCTGCCATTATGTATTAGTAGAGGTTTTTTCTGTTCACTGTTAAAAACACAGCGGCAGAAGCGCTGTGCCTGACACACAGAGCAGCCCCATGTAAAATGCTAAGGTAAATCTTGCAAAGCCCTCATGATCCTCCTTCACGTCTCCCCTAGGGATGCTCGTTCACCACATGCCCACACAAAGTCTGACAACGCGGCTCCAGACGGTGTCTCGCTGCAGAAGGATTTTGATCAAGTCAGCCCCCAGTACCAGCGCAGAACGGGGGACGAGGGGATCGAGGGCAGCCCCGCAGAGAGGGGTTTGGTGATCCTGGTGCACAGAAAACCAGACATGAGCCGGCAATGTGTGCCTTCAGTCCTGAGAGCCAACCGTGTCCTGGGCTGGTGGAGGTGTCCCTGCCCATGGGGGGGTGGTCTGGGGGGCTTTGAGCCCCCTTCCCACCCAGAGCAGGCTGTGGTTGTGTGCCCAGAATGCTATGGCAGCTTCCATGTGCAGCTGCTAATTGCACAGAGTATTTCACAAGTAGTTTTACTCCAGGTTGTGATAAAACAATTAAACGTGAACATGATAGCGTACATACCTCCATCACTGATCCTACGAGCTCTGATGAACGTTCTGTGATCCAGCTCACTCATCTTTAATTTTTAATGTATTTTTAATATCTGTTGAGAAACAAACAAATGTTTTGAGAATACCAACATTGTGGATACGAGCTCAAAACACATCCAAAAAATACGTATAGTTTTCTGAGGAGAGAGGACACATCTCACTAATCATGTAATTAGAAATTCCTCATGTACATCTTTCATTTTGAGAGAGATTTCATGTGCTTTATATAATTTAGTAGCTAAGAAATGGAAAATTAAACATTTCCTTGATATATCTGTAATGCTGTCACATACATCACCTATTCCTTGCTTTGTGCTTTTCAATATATAACAATCCTTCCGACCCAAGTGCAAGTTTTAGAGGTGTTCTTTGCTTTTCAGAAATTAAGCCTGAAAAGATCACTCTCTTCTTCTATTTAGAGACGGTGGTTTATGTATAGATCCCTATACACCCCTTGTATCAACACTTGTCAACCCATCAGCTGTTCTGGCAGCTGTGCCTTGGATCCCGATGAGCACCGGCGACAGGCAGCACGTACCAAGTGTTCACACCATCTTGGGATAGACGTGACATTCAGGATGCAACAAGATGTACAGCATAGAAACAAACTTTGATGGCTTAAAAACCCTTCCTTCCACCCTAATTAAGCACAGAGGGGCACCATCGCTGGCCTGGCACCCACACCAACAGCTGGGGCAGGACACATTCAACCACCCTGCCCACAAACCCAGCTCTGCCTCCCCAAAATCCCACCCACTTTGTCACTCCTGTCACATTTGTCTGGTCCCACAGCGAGCAGCAACACAGTAAACCCCAGAGCTGCAAAATGTGTTAATTCGTGCCTTGTGGAGCTATGGTTCTGCTCCTCCAGCGAGTTGGACCAGTTTACCCACACAGACCCAAGGACGGCACGACGCAACGAGGAGCAGGGAAGGCAGAGCAGCGGTGGAAGGGAACTGTTCTGACAGAGCTATTTGTTTAAAACAGAAGTGTGACACCGCAGCCATAGTGCTTAGCACTGTACTTTCTGTGAGCTATGTTTCTCCGTGACACCGCTCTGCACTGCAGAATGGCCAAAACCAGCTGAAGGGTACAAATTTGACCTGGATGGACAGCAGCTGCATGAGAGAGATCCCAGCATTACTGCACACAAACAGTGAGTGCAGTTGAGATCACAGCCACCACAGCACACACACACACACACACACACACACACCCCAGTTCGTGTCCTGCGGCTCAAAGGCCGTTTGGTTTTAATTCTGTGCATGGTAACTGCGTGTTGCAAGGCAAATGAAATCAGGACCACCAGGCTTTGTACAGTGAATATCCCATGGCCAAACCAAGTAGAAAACAGTGAGCACTTGTTGGTAGTGTGACATT